TAAAAATACGATTGTCTGTCTTTCAAAAAAATTTTGAACAAGTTGCATATTTTGGTTGCAAATACATTTATTGGTTGGTTGAACCCATGTGTCAGTATCTGTGCATTTCAAAAAAAAATCAATGAAATTACGTTGTATTTTTCAGAAAAAATCTGTAAGAAAATGCCCATATTTAAGGAAGAAAAAAATTTGTTTGATCTACCCATTCATTACAATATTCATGCGTCTCTTTGACAGAGATCTTATTTTTCTTTCGGAAAAATGTCATCAAAAAATCTTTATAATTAACCGATTACGGCTTTGATTAATCAACAGATAAAATGTGCATTAGTAAAAAGACTAGAATTTTTGTCATTGGACTAAAACCATCGGGGGAATTCCGTTGAATTAATTATTTTGGGTATTTTCATTACAGTTGTGCTTCAAAGACAAAATAATGATCTACCGCACGGTACCTGCACGGGAAGCAGATTGGGGAAAATAGGTCGAAAATACAATACGGTCGAAAATAGGATACGAGACGATAAGTTTAACCCATTTTGTACTCTTTTAAAATTATTTCGGAGCGGATCTGCTCTGGTTTGCTACACTGAATGTGTATGGGAAGTATTCTAACTGTTGCGAGGGTTTGTTCCTTGACACACTTAATTATTCGATTTAAGGCCTTAGGGATACCATCGGCTGATCGGTTTACAATCTCGATCTTGGAGTTGGAGAACTTTAGTCTGGCGTCAGTTCCTCAAGGCAAATACCGACCCAACTGCTATTCACTTTAAATAACTTTCAAAATGTGTTACTTACCAGAAGATAAGAAGGATATATGGGCAAAAATTATTAAGATATTGATATACCACTTCTTATTCATTATTATACAAAAGCCATTCTTAGTCTCAATTTACAGGAAGTACAATTGCGCCATCTAGAAAATTTAGATAAGTTGTTCAAAGAAAACTCGATTTTTTTAGAACTTGTTTATTTTCTTCGAAGTAATTATCTCACTTAATTAATTAGATAAAAAGAGAAATAAAATATCTTAATAAGTTCAAGAGGTAAACAGAAAATTAAAAAGGAAGAAAGAAACACATCCTTTTTTGCATGTTTAGTACACAATTTTTTACACATGAAAAATAAACATTTGTGTATTTAAAATTATACTCTTTAGATTTCCATTATTTGCTGTCTTTACAGTATGTTCTACAATTTACCATACATGTTAAAGCTTGTCCAAATGATTCAAAACTTATTTTTGAAAAGGAAAATTTAACATATTGAGACAGTTCATTATTATTGAACAAACACCATTATTTTCTATATGCAGCATTTATCTATTCTCTGAAGCCTTATATATATAAAACATCAAATATCAGAATGTGGCTTTTTAGTCAAAAGAGTTTGTCCTCGAAAAAACACTTATACATATTTATAGAATAGTCACCATTGGAATACTTCCCACTCTTTCGTAAACCGAATAAACCACCATCGGAGGGGTGGTTTGGTTGGTTTAACGAAATGGTTTCAGTTACAGCCAAAACAAATGGAAAACCGGTTCTGGGTTTAAACTAGTTTAAAACCAGTTTGTGGAACAAATGAACGGTTTACAAAACTGGTTCAAAACTAAATTAACCCAGCTTTTGAGAAACAAATTCGCCCTTAGTTTATGTACGAGGAGGTATCAAAAAGTTCGTGGACTAGTGCTATCAAATTAAAACCGCTTCAGGTAAATCAATGAATTTTAAAATATCTAGTTATATATATAGCATCATCTTTTCTATCTTTAGAATAAACCACAAATCCTTAATTTTATTTTTTAATAAACTATTACTGTTTTTGTAAGCAATACCAGTATGTCCAGGCGGCGCAACCTCGAAAACGACGGTTTTTACCTATGTGTAACTGAGAAAAAACTATTTTGATATGAACATTTGACATCCAAAAATCCCGTTAATTCAGGTATGTGTTGGGACACTATTATTCCATTTAAATTTCATGGAATTTTTACCTTATTCTGGAAGTTCCATGAAATTTTATCATAAGTTTTACATGCATGGAGTATCCAAACAAATATCAGTACCGACCAGACCCAACCTGACACAAAGCAGTCCCAGAGCAGTCCCGGGGACTGCTTTCTGGGACTGCTAAAGCAGTCCCACAGCAGTCCCAGAGCAGTCCCACAGCGGTCCCAGAGCAGTCCCACAGCAGTCCCAGAGCGGTCCCAGCAGTCCCAGCGGTCCCAGAGAGCAGTCCCAGCAGTCCCAGAAAGCAGTCCCAGCAGTCCCAGAGGGCGGGGTTTATTAATTTAATGGGCGGAGCTAACTCAGAAATGAGATTTCCAATAAACAATGGAACTATAAAAGGCGGTAGAAATTGATTGTGTGTAGTATGCCTGGAATCCTTTCATGCGATGGTCATTTAGGAACAGTACGCGCATTGAAACAAATTGAAATAATATTAATTGAAGGAAGAAGGCTTTCACACGTACATGTATAAAATTAAACTGAACATGAATATTACACAAGATCAGTCCCAAATTAAAATTAATTAAAATTAAAAAATTATCATTTAATTATAAATCATAATTAATCACAATTATCTGGTATATTTATAATTCGATACTTTATTTTCTGTGATTGATACTGTTTCCCATATTTATTTTTTATACAGAAAATTAAACGTGAATTAATTTATTTTCCACCAGAATTAGGTTTAAATAGATCTTATCGTTATATGGTCAATTTCCATACTATCGGGACACTCTTATAAGTTTTCATAAGTATTGGGGCTTTTAAAAAATTCTTTGTTAATTTTGCCAAGTATTATTTTTCAGTCATGATTATTTTTACTGACATGTCAATCTAATTATTTAAAATTTCTCTATCTCTATAATACCATGCTTTAAGTTTTAAGTGATTTATTTGTAAATATTAGAGTGTACATCTGTAAATCACCAGAATGGAACCCTCAGATTATGTTTAAAATTAATTAATCCTGAAAGAAATGCATACACATTTCATTTATCAATTTTATTTTTGCTTTCCATAGATTGAAATTAGGGCTATTGTTGACCAGAGTGTTCAATGATGTGAAACGCTGATATGTATACACAGATAACATGCATTGATTTTCTGCCCTAAGGCGATTGAAATCGCGAGTGTTGATACCATTTTTATACACACTAATCAGCCAGGCAAACAGAAGCAAAAAAAAAAAAAAAAAATCACAATGCCCGGTATTTTCAACTGTTTATTTTTAAAATTAATGTACTGTTTTAATAACTTGTTTATAAATTTAAAACTACCGGTAATTCATTAATAATTTCCCCAATGATTATCCACATTGTATATGTTACGGAAGAATGGTAGCATAATTTATTAATTTTATTTCATGGTCATTTAGTAAAGTGTGAGGTTTTCTATTTGAGGGTTAAAACATGTTCCTTTATCAATTAAAAATATTATATCTAACGGTAATAATTATTTTTAAATAGTTCCAATGCAAATTTTTTGTATTAAATTTTACAATTAATATCCCCTTAATAAAAAGGCCTACATGATGATATTTTTCACATAAACCTAAAATATCTTATATTTAGGAAAAAAAATTAATCTACTCCTGACTTCCTTATTTTACAACTTTATTTTTAAAAAAATTGATTCTTAACTACATTTGTGTAAATATACATTCTGAGTAAATATTAATTAACTATAAAAATTACTACTTATGAAAATATTGTAAGAAATCCTTGCTTTTTAAACAGTTTAAACTCATCTCTGCTGCATGTAAACAAAACAATAGCGGGCCTGCAAATTCAGAATACACAAGGGGGCGGAGCTATCATGTCACTCAGAACCTTTTTCACACATGAGTGAACAAAGCAGTCCCAGAAAGCAGTCCCAGTGACAGCTGGTACTTCTTGGACTGCTGGGTCTGCTTTTTAGAGCAGTCCCAGAGCAGTCCCATAGCGGTCCTACAGCGGTCCCAGAGCAGTCCCACAGCAGTCCCAGAGCGGTCCCAAAGCAGGACTGCTTTCTGGGACTGCTTGGGTGTCAGGTTGGGTCTGGTCGGTACGGTATAGCTTTAAAATGACGTCAAAAAGGGGGAGGGGTATCCTTTTCCAACATTCTATAAAGTTTTGCCCCAGAAAAAAATGGTATAGACTTAGGAAAGTTTAAACTGGCTACGGAGAAATAATATGCATCCAGAGTACTTGTTTTTTAATGCCAAATAGATTCAGAGAGAAACATTTATGACGAGAAGAAATGTTCGTTGAAAAAAAAGAGAGAAAAACTAGACACTAAGATTCTCTTAGATAATTCATTCTTAGCTATTTCGAACTTTTTATTAAGAAGAATATAAAAATGAGGTAATATAGAGTGGTAAATAATTTCTGTAGAGAAAGAAGTCGGTTCACTTTATGCATAAAATGGCCCTGTAAATATACCATTTAATTGATCAACACTTTATTTCCTATTTTTAAGCATTAAAATAAAATAGAGAGTTGGTGCTTTCATATCCTATTAAAAATTTTCTTCTAAAAGTCCAGCTCTAGGAGAACTGGCTTTATGAAATTGCAATGTTCTTGAATTTTTAGGTAAACAGGTATAATTGAGTACTTTCAGTGAAGAAAAATAATATGAGCGCACTCTCTGATCTAAAAAATAAAACATGTCCATTAATCCTTAAAAAATAGTTCTATCATTCACTAGTTGCATATTTTAGATCAGAGGTTGCGCTCTATATTAAATATAAAAAAAGCATTAAAAATTGGCCATTTTTGTAGACTTTTTCAGAATATGAGGAAATTGACGCATTTCTTGACGCCATAATGCATTGACTAGCCAGAGTATGACGTCATATTTGATAGATACGCAGTCACCAAAGATCTAAGTGTTATTTAATGCATTGTTAACTAAAACTATGCAGTTTCAGTTTTTCAGAAATTCACAGGGCCAAATAAGGCAAAAGTGAACCTTGTTCTTTAATTTTAAACCCCAAGACCTCACCGTAGATAAACAAATTACCTAGATCTCTTGACCCACTTTGTTTAACTGGTATCTAAAGGTATGTCAGTGGTGTTTATACTGTAATTTAATCACAAAAATTCACAATGTGTTGTTGAAAAACGTTTAGATGAATATGTTATCATTACTAAAAGTTTGTACCTTTATGTGTCGTATGTCATCATTAATTAAAGTTCAAGTAAAGCCTTTACATATGGAGCACAGTTTGTGTCTTTTATAAATAACTTATTCGAATGAAATATAGTTTGTATTGTATAATATAGTATTATTCAAATCAAGGTATGCCAATATGATTCCACTATCACCTGCACATAATATTCCATGCTGACTCAAGAGCATCTAGCTCTAATAAGTATGCAGGCTATTGATATATAAGTTGACGTTGCAAACTCTATGGACGATATAATGATATTGTTAGAAAATATAATCACTTATAGTTGTACGTTGTTTGAAATATTTAGGCCTCCATTTTTTATGCTTGATTTGACTGTAGAATATTCAGTTTACATATTCCACCGTGTATATCCCAACATGGGGATACCATGTTGGGATCTTGTTCCGATCCTTGGAATTGTGTTGAGGTGTTTGATAAAACTAGAAGCTAGGTGTCCAGTGGTTTCAAAGGTATCCATATACTCCTTAGATAATGCTTCCTTCCGTAGGCACAGGCTTTCTGGCGAAAAATATCCATCAGTTGAGAAAACGAACAAAGAATGTACCTCGATCCTCTTTCCCTCCCTACGAAAGCATACACCCCGCGCACAACATAGTATACACCCCGCATGTTGGGATATACACGGTGTATTCTGAATACACGGGACTCAAAGCGAATATGTCCAGTTGACAGGGGCGTGCTTCAAGGCACCGGTACAGCCTTTAGAATTAAAGGAACATTTTTTTCCATTTCAGAAATTTTTATCTAAAGTCTTTCTAATGATCATAAAAAATGAACTTCAATTAATTGTCAAGATACAAGATAGTGATACACTGTAGATGTAGAGCTCGAAACATATATGTAAACAGGGTCCGTGTCATGTTTTTATTTGCATAGATAAATATACTAAATTACTAATATATGTTCCTTCAAATAAGATAATTTCAATAAAGAAGTTTATTCTAATTGTAAACAAAAACAAGACTCGAACCTTGTTTACATAATGAAGAACTTTACGTTCTGTATCTCGCTTGTTAATCAACAAATAATATTCAAAGAAGATGGGTGAATAAAGCGGGCAGAATGCCTATAGTGCGACAGATAAGATGTGAAAATTTTAATCTCAATTGAATCCAATTTTTACTTGATATTTCATCTAATATTAAAGTATACTTTATGTAAAATCTCTACAATTTACAAAAATCTCACAAAGACTGAAAATACTTGCCTATGAAAATGCTTATACACACTAAAAAGAACAAAAAACGATCATTTTCTCATACTTAAACAAAATTTTTCAATATGGGTAAGTCTTCTCTTCATTTTTTTGAAAGATGATCGTAAAAGTGTGCAATAAAATACACATTTTTTGTTTTTCAAAAACATGGAGCGAAGACCCAGTATACCTTAAAAGTACAATTTTATGACACAACATTTGCATCTTTCCGAGAAATACTTCAAGTCCATTAAGTCAAGGGTCATATAACAAACATGATTTAAATGCCTACTTTTTACGATCTCCTTGAGCGGTGTAGCATAGTGGTAAACGCTTTAGTCTCAGAGCAGCATGCTATTGTACGTCGGATTTTTATTGCTAGGGTTCGAATCCCACGAATACCATCTAATAATTTTATGAAAGAAATTTTTTTACGAGATTCTTTCTCTCTCAGAAATTTTTTTTTTCTCATAATTTCAAAAGTTTCAATAATTAGAAGTTAATTTAAATAATCAATTCACATATTTAATATGATTTCTTAATATCTGACGCTATAGGCATTCTACCCGCCTTGTTCGCCCATCTTCTTTTTGCTGATGATTAGATGATGCCTTAGTTAGGTATTGTATATATTAAAATTGGTTTTAGAAATTCAGTTGAAAATGTGTCCATGTCCCTTTAAGTTCCAGTGGTTCTTGGCTTATATCCTGTTAACATACTTTTTCCCAAAGATCGTTCACTTCCTTTTTCAAATGAAATATCATCTTAAAACACATATCTATAAAAGATTTGGACAATTCATTATTTGTTATTTTAAAAATATGTATAATTTAGAATATCTACCCCTCAAAGTTGCTGTATTAATTTAAAAAAAAATATCTTACAACAATAAACGCTGTTTTTATTTTTCCCCTCCTGGGTAGAATTTCAATCTGAATAATATTTTCTAAATAATTATTGATACAAATATAAACTTAAAGTCTTTGTTATTACGTAATGAGGGTTCTATTTTTAGTAAAATGACAAAAACCCGCGTATGTGTGGTGGGTGCGGGGGTAGTGGGCGTGTCCAGCGCGGTACGGATCCAGAACGAATTGCCGGACTGTGACGTCACCATCATTGCTGACCGGTTCAGTCCGGACACCACTTCAGATGGGTCAGGTGGATTCTGGTTGCCACATCTGGTGGGCGGGGACAATCAGGAATTGGTCACGTTAGAATCCCATTCATCCATTGTTAATATTTCAAATTCTTACCAACCTTTCATATTTACATGAATATAATTATCTTCTTCGCTTATAAATAAAAAGCCAGATTCAATATGTAAAAGTTTCATGTAGATATTGGTTTTTTTTTTTATTGCTACTCTGATTCCTACCATAGGAAATGCGGTGGCGACACCTGGGATTACCTGTTATATCTTGCAACCTCGCCTCTGGCCAGTCGCCTCGGGGCACAGATGGTCTCGGGTTACTCTTTCTTCGCAGAGACACAGGTAAAACAGAAAGTCTTATTCATGTGATGAAACTTGAATTTTTTTCAAATGACAAATGTATATGCACAATAACAAGAACGCATTTCTGTTGCTAGCCATTTTTTTCTTTATTGAAATAGTGTCCAGGATGGCGGCACCAGGTCTTAGGATACCGCGAACTGGACAACAAAGAACTTAAACTTCTTTTCCCCAAGGCCAGGTAAAACCTCTAACTCCTGATTTCGAGTTCACAGGTTTATTTGCATTTAGTTTTTACCGTATATATATCGTCTACGTATGTTGCACTTTGATTGGTTACCAATCGACGGTGTTCCTAGCTATGTCATACATTGTATGTTTTTGATTGGTCGGATTTACTGTCTTGGGATTGGTCACATATCCTGCTTACTAATAGGTTGTAGCTGTCTCTCTGTTGCAGATTTGGCGTGTTTTACACCACGGTGATGATCAATGTCAAGGCCTATCTGACTTGGCTGATGTCAAGGTCAGTATGACAAATGAATATTAGTTAGAAACCTGACATATATACATGTAATCAGTTTGGTATAAAATATATGGTCGATTTTTATTTGCTCAAGATATTTTGATTGGTCGTGTCATACTTTGTATTAGACAATATGTTACATGCATTTGATTTATGATTTATTTCTAGATTCAAGAATAGCAATGGAAAGTTCATAAATAGACGAGTGGACAGTTTAGATAAGGTGTGTACATGGATTTAAGTATTTTTCTCCTTTGACTAAAGATCGACCCTTATTTATATTTAATTAATGCAAAATCTGTCTTGTGTAGCTGCTGTCAGATTATGACGTGGTAGTGAACGCTTCAGGGATTGGTTCAAGGACACTAGTCAAAGACAATGACGTCATTCCGATCCGGGGCCAAGTCTCCAGGGTAATAACATAATAATGATTTACTTTTGTGTTTTATTTTGTAATGGATATGTATAAAATAGATCTATATAAAGTACACTATTTTCAGGTTAAAGCCCCGTGGGTGAAACAATTTATGACATACGAAGGAACGAATGGACATTGTGAAAAATATATTCTACCTGGGTATATAGTTTTATACTTTTGCGGTTCAGTATTTTTATTTAAACATGAATTAATGAATACACTCCATTAAAAAAATATTTGCACATTTTAAGAACCGGATTAGTTAGTGATTTACCGAATATTAAGTTGAAACTGATATTCATTGTTATGGTGTGTTCGATTATATCATGTATCCATTGTAATGGTCTGTTTGGGTATCGGTTATTTATGATGTGTTTGATTATTCATTATTATGGCGTGTTCGAATACCCAATGTTGTTGTGCTGTGTGTAATTATCTAGATCTGACGCTGTCATACTTGGCGGAACTGGTCAGACTGGCAACTGGAACACAAAAATTGATGACGTTGATCGCAAGGCAATTTGGGAGGGTTGTCTAGAACTAATACCAAGTCTAAAGGTATCATTTATTTCGAAAAACGAACAAGCAATCAAGGATTGAATCATAACACCAGTTGGTGTAAAGACTATGTGGACCATTAGTCCCCTAACATAAATAAGGTGCAAAGATATTAACTTAAGATGATGCATAAGTTCTACATTGAATTTTGTTCTTTGAGCAGGATGCAGAAATAATCCAACACTGGGTCGGCTTACGTCCACACCGAGGTTCCGGGGTACGACTGGAAACTCTGAGGCTCCCGACAGGAAAAATGGTAAATAAGATAAGATAATTACACATCTAATCTGACGTTTTTAATTGTATGATCCCCTTTATTTTTATTATTTCATTTTTATAATTTTTATTTTTAGATCGTACATAACTACGGACACGGGGGGTCGGGCGTGACGTTACATTGGGGATGTGCGGGAAAAGTCGTCAAGGAAATCCGGAAAGCGCTTACTCAGTCCCCGGCAAAGCTGTAGGCTGTAGGGAAACAAAGAAGCTATTACAGACCACCAGGGGGCCTTGAAATTGTGTGATAAAGGAGGCCTCATTGAAGAAGCTAGAAAATATATATTTATAAATACATGTAGCACCGATAAATCTAATATGTTGTTTGAAACTTAGTTATAGGAAGGGAATGTTTAATGGTCTTACGTATTTTTTGTAAAAAAAAATGAATGAAATGGAATTTTTTCTTTTAAAGAACCACGTATGATTTATTAAAATTATATATGCGCTATTAAATAAAGAGTCTTTAAAAAAACTATTTTGTATTTTTCAATTAAGAAGTAGAGGTATTGGTAGATTATTCGAGTTTGATTTTTTAGCTCACCTGAGCCAAAGGCTCAAGTGAGCTTTTCTGATCACAATTTGTCCGTTGTCTGTCGTTGTCGTCGTTGTCGTTGTTGTAAACTTTTCACATTTCCATCTTCTTCTCAAGATCCGCTGGGCCAATTTAAACCAAACTTGCCACAAAGTATCCTTGGGTGAAGGGAATTCAGGTTTGTTCAAATGAAGGGCCACGCCCTCATTCAAGGGGAGATAATTGGGAATTAATGAAAATTTGGTGGCATGTTTTAAAAATCTTCTTCTCAAGAACCACTGTGCCAGGAAAGATGAAACTTATGAGGAAACATCCTCAGGTAGTGTAGATTCAAGTTTGTTCAAATCATGACCCCCAGGGGTAGGGCGGGGCCAAAATGGCCGACCAAAGTTTTACATAGAAATGTATAGGAAATTTCTTTAAAAATCTTCTCCTCAAGAAACACAAAGCCATAATTGATCATATTTATATGGAAGCATCCTCAGGTAGTGTAGATTCAAGTTTGTTCAAATCATGACCCCCAGGGGTAGGGCGGGGCCAAAATGGCCGACCAAAGTTTTACATAGAAATGTATAGGAACATTCTTCAAAAATCTTCTTCTCAAGAATAGCAAAGCCATAATTGATTATATTTATATTCTAGAAATTTATTATTTGCATCATTTGCAATTTTAATTATTAAAATTGCAAATGATGCAAATAATAAATTTCTAGAATATAAAGAAATTGTAAACCTTCTGTGATGTTCAAAAGTCTACCCTTCTGAAACCATCGTTATTAATCTATACAAATATTTTTCACTTCAAATTCCATTTTTGTAAAAAAAATTGAATAAAAAATCAAAAACTACGCGGTGAAAGTTATTCATTTTACTCAGTTAAACATGACCCAAGTTGTTATTTTCAAATTCTTTGACAAAAGTTTGGTTGTATCATCTGTCCTTAACTTCCTATTTAGTACCGTAGTCTGTTTGCAAGCGCGTTACGGATTTTGCTAACGCCCAAATATTTAAAAAATTAAAAATTTATTTCTGAAAATTCATCAGTTTAATCCAATATTGTCAGACTTCCCATTGAACACTTGGATTATTCTAGAAGAGTAGGATGATAATTAGTGGGCGTCAGACATGAGGGAAAATCTGCAATAAGAACCGAATGTAAAGCCAGCCTCCTAATGAAAGTATTCAATAAATCTGATGATACCAGTGCTTTCGAATCATTATGGATTTCGGATGTTTTTTTTTCTTATTGATATATTCTATATATCTTGTGTGAAATTAAAAGGAACGAAAGTCATATTATCACCTGATTTATTGAAATAAAAATTCACAAACTTAATTAACAAACAACAAACATAATTAACAAAAATGAGGATTTCTTTACAGTTATGTACATATTATGTACATATTGGGTTGTCATAGGAACCAAAATCTTTTATCTAAAATCATGAACTATAACACATTTAAACACTATACTGAAAATAAAACTGAGAAATGAATTCTGTACAATTAATCTAATGTTCCTAAAATAATTCACCTTTTTAAATCGAATCACATAACAATTCAAGAAGGGTAAGAAATGGGAGAGGACAGTTTCTTTTTTTAATCCGGTCAAAGAAAAGTTTTTAATTACTCCACATCACTGTAACAATTTTATTTTAAAATTATACCGGTGTATTATTTCAATGATGGTCCCTGCATATAAGTTCCCTGACTTGCTGTATTCTCATGACTGTAGCAGTTTGTATGTCGTGTGATGTACTGATATGTTTGAGAGCTTGTTGGTAGGAGTACAGAGCAGCTTGATGGTTCCCTGTCACCTGTTGACAGATTCCTAGAATCTGCCAGGATATGTTTCGTAGATAATAACGAATGTACTTCCTCTGATCATGGTGGACCAGGTCCTGTAGGTCATTAAGAGCTGTTTGTGCTCGCACTGGGTCTACATATCTGTAACACAAGACCTCTAACATGTGTAACAGAACGTAAAGTGGGATGAATAATACAGGTTGTCCATACTGTGACAGAGACTGTTGTTCTGGCAATAATTCATTAATGTAACACATTGTACTGGGCAAAACAAAATCTTTTGCTACGGTATGTCTTATATTTGTAGACCGGGATTGTCCCCTCATAGATTCACTAAAAATGCATCTTCCTGCATTATAATCTTTATCTGAGATATACATTATATATGGTTGTGCTAACTTGACATTTGTCATCTCTATAACTGATATAGCTTTCTTATATCTAAGTGTCTTGTAGTAAAACATTGCAAGATATAACATATCAGAAATACACCCAAACTTGGATGCTAATTTCAGCATATAACTGAATTCTTTGTTAGCCAAATAGACCTGCTTGTTTAAAACTGAACTTGATTTTATCTTGAATGGTGCAAAACCGGTTGAAAACTTGTATAAGATAAAAGCAGTGCTCTGGAGTACAGTGGCTGTAAACATCCGTAACAGGAGAACCTGGTACTGGGTCAGGGGTAAAATTATTAACTTTTCTACAGCACTAAAGAACCTCGTACAATGATATAGCTCTGATGCTGCTATACTATTCCTACTCAGCTCATGAAACAGATCATCTTCAAACCAAGACATGGTGTTCATAATTTGCTCAATTCTACTAATGGACTTTTTAAGGACAGTTGTAACACCAAACCTGATAGACGGACAATAAAACACCGATGCTATACCCCTCGCATACAATTCATGAAGCTTGATGAATAAATTCTTTTGTGCTTCACCATGGATATTACTCAGAAACATGTTGTTTTCTGGAATAAAAAAGTTTGGGCATACTCCCTCATACACCCATTTAAGGATAAGTTTAAAACAGACCCAGAAACACTCCAGTAAATTTTGTGGAAACCAATGATGCAATGTGTTTTGTTGAATCATCCAGAGAACTGCTGTCTTCATGTGATACGAACACAGAAATTTATCCTCGTCCCTTAATCCATGATTAATAGACTCTTTTAAGAACAGCTTAAGCAGCCCGTAGGTTAAGAATTGGCTATGATTCATTGAATATACAAGTTTTTGTTCTGCTAAAGAGAAGGAAATTCTCCATTCTTTGTCTGCGTGTTTTCCAAGTTTGTGTCCTATTGCTACAAAGCTGCATCCATTTCTGACTATGTCATCAACAATATAAGATGGTGGCCATGAGTGACATCTGTCTATCCATTTGGAGGCAGGTGGGGGCCAAAAATCACAGACAAAACATTGGGCAGAGTCATACTCTCCTCCTCCCACTATAACACCAGTACTACACGGACCATGTTCTATAGAATTAGGTAAAAATGCCGAACATTTAATTTGTCTGTATTTAGAACTGGATATATAGAGCCTGTCATTTACTCTCATACATGCATTCTGTACACTTTCCATGTTTGTTGGTGTCATTAATTCAAGTAACCCATACCCTGGAGGGCTCTCTGTACAATCACAGAGAATCAGTGTTTTTCTACTTAAGTAATAATTCTGAACCTGATCTAAGTTCCATATTACCGTGTGGTCACTTCGCCAAAACATGCCGTCCATATCTGAACTCTGTAGTCTGAATCCTTCTCTGCGACTCCCACTAGTCAACATTCTGTCTCCTGTTGTTTCTATTACTTGATTTACCATCATGTCCCTGAAGTCCACCAACTCTCTCCTCATGATCACCTGCTGTGAGGTACCCACTATGAAACTCAGTCCCATAAATACAGTCTCGGACAGATGCTGCATACCCAATTCCCTGTACAAAACATGATAAATATATCTACAAACATATGTTATAAAATTAATGTCATCATCAATGAGTCCTGTAGTAATATTGAGTTATGTAATTAACTACATGTAATTGTCTAGACCGAAAATCATACATCGTTTTTATGTTCCAACGCCTCACTAATTACACGTCTATGATTGTCCTTTGATCACATAATATATAGCAATATAATCATATTTTTGGGCAGTCATAAAAATAGAGTTGTCGTGATACATGAACAAAATTGTGTAAGGTTTATACTTTACAGTGTGTATGGAAACTTCCTTTCTGAATAATCCGATTTCAAACAATTAATACTTTATTTTTGGTTTTCCAAATTACACACACATATCCCGAACAAATTGCTTATTTTGATGTGGAATAAGTGAATTTGCTAAGAATACTTTTTATCATTTAGCATCAGACAAAATCATGATCAAGTGTTATGATCATATGTTTCCACATTTCAACCATATTGCAGTATACCTATTTGATTTTTCAACTTGAACAAATGATCTGAAGGGCCATTATCTTAAAAACAAGATGCCACCGATATTATAGGTCACCTGAGTATCAAATAACAACTTTACAACAATTGAATTTGGTTCGTTTCATAAATCAAAAGCCATGAAATTTACAATTTTGAAAGAGACATAAGACATTGTTTATCATAAGTATACACTTAGCATGCTTACTTTAGTTACTTAATACCCAGAGGTAGATCAACGTTATATAGAGAAAATGCATTTCCACTTTATAATCACCAGTTGTGCAGCCCACCCCTACAGGAACCACTGACCCTAGGGCCACATAATTTTAAAAAAATGGAAATTTTATCTTAAATTTTATTTCATCATAAATAGCTGATTAATACCAAAGAGCAGATTTCAAAGCATTAATTTATCTTCAGACTTAGTATGTAAACCCCCAGTTTCCTTGACCCAGGGGACATGATATTGACACTTTCGGAAGAGGCACCTATCTTCATCATAAATATGTACTTAGATCATTGGCATACTAAGTAATACCAAGGAACAAAGGACACGATTTTCAAAGGATTAAGCACTTTCATTATATAATCATTAGAACCCTTCCTTAACACCAGAACCTCTGACCCAGGGACCCTGCAATTCACAAACTTGGAAGAGG